CACAACACCTCCATTTTTGGGTTACCTCTATTTTAACTCCAAATCTTAGTGTTTGAAACAAAAAAGCTTTTCCCTACTAACAAAAAAGAAAACATGTTAGCTGGGTCCGACCAATTAGATTACTATTCTTTTAACTGTGACACCATTTAACTATAGTTGAGGAGACCCGAGGATTCGAATGAACTTAAAATTACTGTTCTCTTCATCTACTTTTACTGTAGGATGTTCTGTGTTCTTTCCAAATCTTAGTGTTTGAAACAAAAAAGCTTTTCCCTACTAACAAAAAAGAAAACATGTTAGCTGGGTCCGACCAATTAGATTACTATTCTTTTAACTGTGACACCATTTAACTATAGTTGAGGAGACCCGAGGATTCGAATGAACTTAAAATTACTGTTCTCTTCATCTACTTTTACTGTAGGATGTTCTGTGTTCTTGGTTGCTTTGTATTAGATATAATACTTCTGTCATGTCACAAATGTCATATCAGATGACAAGGACAAAAGAAAAGGGAGAGTCATAATGGCTAGTTAATTAACCAGGAATCTCTTCCTTCATGGCTTTGGTAATCATTTCTCTCCCTGGAGAGATCCACCTTCCTGCCTGTGGAGACTCATCTATATCAGATCCTAAGAATAAGCATCCTAACAGCATGAGACTGTATTTGCCACATGCACAAAACATGATGGTTGCCCAGTGGAGGAACTGTAAACTTCCAAGAAGAAGCTGCATCTGTGTTAGAACTTCAGTGATTGATGCCAGTAAGTGTAGAGTTCTGTTACAGGTACAGAACCAGAATTATCTTGGGCTCAAAAAAGATAGCCAGTCTACTACCTACCTCTGTACGTGACCTTGTGTTCTAGTGATGGGAACTCCAAAATCACTCATTCAACTTAGATTAACTTGGAGAGCATCTGTAACAACCCTATTAAAATTTACCTTTACTCTCCAATACCTTCCCCATAACCTCTAAACTATCCTAAATATTACAAAGTATTCTTCACAGAAAATAAAAACATGATTCTTATGTACAATATTTTCTCTTATGGTGCTTGTTTTGTCATTAATTCTTCTTTCCCTTAATCCTCTTCAACAAATCCAATTCAAAATATTTTGAAAACTCTTCATGGACCTCATGACTTATCCCTTAATAATCATTTTTATTTTGATCCTTTTATCTGTATCCCCCTCTCTAATCCATCTACTGATAGTTTTATCCAGACTACTATTCAACATACCAAGGCAGACTTCTATCAGTGATGTCTTCCTGATGCATAAACACAGATGTGAATCTCTGACCCTGCGACCACCTGACCGCTGGATACAAGAGGAGAAAGCCCAAACCCTAATCCTTTAATATCCAGAACATAGGAGGAAGAAGTCTGTTCACACCTTACTCCATCTCCCTTTTCTAGAAAACATCCTTGATTTTTTTAATCTAAAAAAGGCTGAAAATGTTATCTCTAACCTCTGCCATTCTCTCCCCTCAAAATCAGGCCACAGCCCCCACAGCCTCTTTCAGTGCACAGCTACAGAAAGCTGCTGTGATTTTGCAGCGCTCACAAAGACTGGAGTTCCCTCCCTCCCCCTCACAGCTACAAAAGCAAGTCCATAAAACAAGGCCCCTGTGAACTTTGTCTACAGCAAGCCCAGGCCCTGCTGCCCTGGCCCCAGAATAACTTTACTCTCATCTAGTGCCTTGCCTTACATGTCTCCCAGCACATAGGCTTGGTCATCTGATGTAGAACCAGCTTCCTATCCAGAAACCTACATGAGGGAGAAATACCCCTTAAGCTCCAGAACTGCAGTCTCTCTTGCCCTTCAGTGCTCTATCATGCTCCCTATAGGATAATGTAACTCTCAGAAAGTTCTGAAGAATAATTTGCACAGCTCCTTTCTATCAATCCCATAACATCTTTCAAAATATATAGCAAACCACTAACCCATACTTACTGCTATTAAGTGGGTATCCTTCCCTTCTAAGACACAGTAATAACTATCAGTATTTTGGAAACCACCTGAGCTACTATGTACTCTGTGCTCCCAACTAAAGAAGTTTTCTGCTTCATACCTTAATAACCAAGACTTACCTATGTTTAGAAAATCACACAGAAAGCCTGCTTTCTTCTAGAAGGTGTTTTTCCTTGGTATAGAATGGAAAAGAGGTCCCATCAGTTCTGGAACATGAGCCAAGCCTACAGAGATATCTGGTATATCTCTGTATTTGTGGTTCAGTCATTAAACAAATATGTTACGCACTTTGCCCAGCCACTTTCCTAAACTCTTGTAATAATTTGGTCAGCAAAGCAGAGAACAATTTCTGGACTCAGGCATTCACAATAGGCACCGTAACTTGGTCATATGCACAGGATATTAAGGTGTGCTGTGCCCATATATTCTAAACTGGATGATGGACACCAGGGCCAGCTAAAAGGCCTTCAGTATCCTGCAAATGCTTATGGAATGTGAGGACTGCTACTGGGGAGTGATAGACAGAATCTTGGGTCACACAGGTGATTCCTATGAGAGGGCTAAGGTTT